CGTGCGGGGGTGCGCGCTCCCGGCGCGGGGCGAGTTGTGCGTGCGGGGGTGCGCGCTCCCGGCGCGGGGCGAGTTGTGCGTGCGGGGCGTGCGCGCTCCCGGCGTGGCGGGATTTGTGCGTGTGCTCTTGGTCTTGAGCGGGGTTAGGGTGAGTACACGGGGCGACTGTTGAATAATTGAGGCCTCCGTCTCCTCACTTTCCCCCATAATTTTTGCCTCTTAAAGTGACTGTAATTATACTTCTTGTCTAAATCTTCCTAGGTGAAAAGAAATGTCACTCAGTAGATAACAGATAACCTGTCACACTATGGCAGAGAAAAACAAGGGGTACTTCTGTGGTACTTTAAAGACAAGAACAGATCTCTCCCCCCCCCCCACACACACACACACACACAAAAGGGAAACATATAGCTCCCCTGCAGAAACAGGTAAGCGATGGGGGGAAGGCTGGGTCCGATTGCTGAATGTGTTGTAGGGTTGCCAGGTGTCTGGTGTTGACCTGGACAGTCCAGATATTTTAAGTGTCTGGTATTTTCTGAATTTATTTACAGGACAGGAGCCGAAAATACCGGACGTCCAGGTCAATATTGGACACCTGGCAACCCTACCTGTGGCATTATTGAAATAGCTATTCCGTGTCTTATTTTAAAAGATCTTTCAAATAGTGCATCGTTCTGACATCCCTGTAAACCTCATTCCACGAGGAGTCCAGATATTTTAAGTGTCTGGTATTTTCTGAATTTATTTACAGGACAGGAGCCGAAAATACCGGACGTCCAGGTCAATATTGGACACCTGGCAACCCTACCTGTGGCATTATTGAAATAGCTATTCCGTGTCTTATTTTAAAAGATCTTTCAAATAGTGCATCGTTCTGACATCCCTGTAAACCTCATTCCACGAGGAGTAAGGGACATTTTGAAATATCAGTTTAGTTCAAAATATGGCACCGTGTAGACTGCAAAATTACACTATAAACTATCTCGAAATACACTCAAAATAAGCTATGCAATTTGCATAACTCAAATTATGTAGCTTATTTTGAGCTAAGAGTGCAGTGTAAACAGATTTACTTGAGTGCCAAGCACAACTTGTCAGACAAGTGGAATGGAAATTAGAGGCAGGCATAAATATGCTAGCACATGAAAAGAGGGGAATTCCTGTAGAACCCCTTGTCAGAGGATGTTGTGAAGACCAGGACTTTAACAGGGTTCAATGAAGAGCTAGATAAATTGATGGAGGTTAGGTCCATCAATGGCTATTAGCCATTGGGAAGCAATGGTGTCCCTAGCATCTGTTTGTTTGGAAATGGATGCCAGAAAATGAATCACAGTGATGATTATGTGTTGTGTTCACTCCCTCTGGGGCATCCAACATTGGCCACTGTCAGAAGACAGGACACGGGTAGGTGGACCTTTGGTCTGATCCATTATGGCTGTTCTTATGGGAGCTATGTTTTCAAGAGGAGGACTAGTTACTAGG